CATATATATAGGTACAGATATAATCAAATATATGAATATATGAGTGCATGCGTATATATGTATGCATGTATATTTAGTAATACCAGATGTTCCCTTATCAACAGATGTTGAACTCCAGTGTATCTGATTTTATTTAGCTGAAACTATAGAATAAAATATAAAGACATACTGCATAGCTAAGAAAAGTCATTTTGCAAGTGGCTGACATAATGACTACCTAAATAGCTGGGGGATGTCACATATATAAAGGTTAATGCATGTGTGGATCAAGATCATTAGCTTACTGGATATGGTGATATTTGTCCTTCTTACATGTTTAGTACTAGTATTGTATTGCAGATATTTCTGAACAAGTATCCTCTAGTGGCACATCTTCTAGAAGAGTTAGAAAATACTCATTTCGCCTAAGCTCTCTCGCCATGAGTCCTTGGTACAAAGAGGGTGATTCAGATTTGGTTTCAGGTTCCCTGGGTTGGCATGTAACACTACTCATTAGAGGTGGTGATTCTTTTTCTATTTGTAACCAATTTTATTATACCCTCCTCCAAATGTGATGTCCACTCTCTCCCTTCCTTCCTGCGTCCGTTAAGGCATCTTTATTTATACCTAGGAGGAGCGCGGGCTGGCTGCAAGGGAGAGCTGGCCCCACAGCCTTCACTGAGTGAATGACGTGGTACAGACCTCCTGTGCTCAGTGCGGCCAGGACCACAACCTCAGTCCTTCAGAAAACTGCAGTCTGGTCTCTTCACCCTAGTCTTCCACAGTCAGCTGCCTCAGATGTGATGGCTCTATGTGGAGCAGCCAAATGGCCCTCTTCTTTGCCTCCAGAACTTGTTTCCTTGGCTTTCATGAGATTCCCGGCCGTTGCTGATGATATCAGCTCTGCACTGACCCTGCTGCCTTCTCATGACTTAAACCACCTTCTGCGGCTGCCTGGTGTGCTTCTGAAACTTGATGTTTCTTGTAAAGTTTGGGAACTTCTCGTTCCTTTTTTCTTCCTTTCCTCTTTTTGGCATAATGATTTCAGATAGAAATTTTTCCAAAACGCATGAGGGAATTAAAAGCGAAAGCAAAATGTCCATAGTTTGATCATTTTAACAAGATAAGGAAGGGTTAATTGTGGTTATTAATTTTATGGCTATTAAATAAACTGCAACTGAGGCTTGGGAAAAAAGGGAAAGTAGAACACATACTTTATCGTGCACACACAGTATGCTTATACAAATATCACAAAGCCCAAGTGCAGACCAGCTGCCAATTTGTTGCCAGATGCCAACTAGAAATAGCTTCTGAATAGTCAGAAGCTTAAATGGAAAAAATGTGCCAGTTACTTCAAACTGGAACCAGTTCAGGTTTGGTAAACACAGCTGAAGTTAATGGTAGCTAAACATCGGCATTTACTTAGGGTTTGGTGACACTAGGAAATGTCTGGAGCCACTTCGGCCTCCACCCTGCTTTCACTGATCAGCACTCTGAGTGATTCTAACCTGAGAAGAAGTCAGGAGTCTCTGCTTTGGAGACATTATGGTCAAAGGCACGTACATACTTTGATGTCAGAAAACATGGTTTGCATTCCATGTCTGTAACTTAGTAACTGTGCTTTAGGCACAAGGAAATTCTTCAGTGCTAGTCACATTCAGTTTTCCCATTTTTAATACGGGCATAATAAACCTACACACGCAAATACCATAATTTCCAGTGGTTCCACACTTTAGAATTTTTACAAATCACAAGTTCAGGTCGAGCCCTATTGCAGTCACATGACCATGCGGGGCTGCCATTGACAGGGATTACAAAACCCCGGGTGGATCTATTGTGCAGCAGTCTGGGAACCATAGGGTTGCTGTGCGACTCCAAGAGTCCCCTGGAAACATGCAGCATCCAACCAGCGGTCCATCTGGACTATTCTTGCTGTGGCCAGGTGCTGCCCCAGCCACAAGTGTTCCCGCTGGTGGCCGTTTTCACTTTTAAATTCTTCAGTCATGTCAGTTGATAATAAACTTGGAAAGATGAAAATATTCCCCAAAATGTTCTCATCATCACATTTAATATTATAACTACCTTTGTTTTTCCTGAATAATTTCACAGTAATATTGAATTTTAATCAAAATACCCTAGATATTTACACTTTTCAGTGATTCTCAAATAAAAAATTGAGGAGAGCAAGAAAAAAAAATGAGAGCAATGTGGGATTAGCTCATCAGATATTAAAAGCTGGTCCCCAGCTGTCATGGTTGAAACAGCTTATCTCCCAGTTCTCCTTCCGGCCACTGGCTCCAGGGTGACTGTGCTGTGCCCCATGTGGCAGATGACTCTCTTCCTCTCTTGGAGCTTGTGTGAGTCCCAGGTAGAGTTTACTATTCCATGTGGTGATTTTCTCCCTAAATACATTTGTTGGATCGTGAGTGTCTTCGTTATGTGTATATTCTAGAGATTTAGTGAGACTTGGAAGGGAGTGACACTCAAATATATATTTTTTTTTTTTGGAATGGCTCGATAAAAGAAGGTAGAGAGAAAAAAGAAGAGGAAGACTGGCTGTCTAAGTGTCCTGGTTAGGACTCTGTGCCCACGTCAGTAAGCCTTTTCAGGGGTTAGCCTCTAAGCAGAGCTCTTGCTCTGAGGAAGAGTAGCTGTGTTAGCCTCAAGGGTCTATGCATCTGCATCATGGTAGTGTTTTCTATGGCTGATCTATTCATTCAACAAGTCTTCATGTGTTGAACTTTCTACACAGGTGTTTTAATTTCGCATTGACTGAGAATTGCAGAGACAAAAGATGTCGAACTTTCTTTGTCCATGTGCAGGTGGACTAAGACTCAGACAAGGGCCCCAGCCCTCGCCACACCATGACCAGTGTTCAGGTGGAGAGAGGGTGACTGATTCAGCCTGGGGCATGGGGTGACCAGTGAAGTCTTTAGTCTACAGATGTGGAAGTCTGTGGCACCAGCAAATCCTTGAGAGTCACAGAAAATAGAAGGTAGGGCGTTCCTGCGGTCTGAAAGAGTTCAGAGCAGGTGGAGGTAAGCAAGTGGAGGGACCTGACAGGGTCCTGCATGCCTTTTGATGTTCTGTGAGGGAACTCAGTCTCTAGACTGAGAATAGTGTGATATTTTTAACGCATTTTAACCAGAGTGATGATCAAATAAGAATTTTTGGAATGCTTTGTTTGAAAATAATTTGAGGGTAACTTAGAGGTTCTAAAAATAGTACAGATTCCCTGAATACTCCTCACTGAGCTTCCCGAGATGACAACATCAAAAAAAATTAATGGCCATCATTTGGAAATTGGTATTGGTACAGTACTATTAAGTGAACTGCAGACTTTTTTAGTTTTGCCAGCTTTTATAGGTGTTTTTTCCCCAGGGGAAGTGAATTGTACAGATCTCTGACATTTTGTCACACACAAACATCTATGCATGAACCGTACAGAACCGTCCCTTGCCCTCATCCTGCCACTTTGCAATCACAGCCTCAAGACAGCACAAGGGACTCCTGACAACCACAGACCTGTTCATCAGGAATACGTTTTCATTTTGAGAACATTATTTAAATAGACTCGTACTGTCTATAGCCTTTTGAGTTGGCTTTGTCACCAAGCAAAGCGCCCTGGAGAGCCACCCAAGTTGTCCTGTACATCAGTGCTTTGTTCCTTTTTATTGCTGAACAGTGTTCCATTGCACAGATGTGCCACAGTTTATTCATCCTTCTGGTGAGGAACAAATGACAATTATTTTCTTCCCCAGTTTTGGTGATTATGACTACAACTGCTATAAGCTTTAATCTGCAGGGTATTTTCATTAACATTACATTTTATTTCTCTAGGTAATATACACAGGAGTGGGGTTGCTAGATCATATAGTAAATTCATACTTAACTGTATAAAAAGCTGCCACACTGTTTTCCAATGTGGCTATGGCATTTTGCATTTCCACAAGCAATACACAAAAATCAAATTGTTCTATATCCTCGCCAGCACTTGGTGTTATTAGTGTTTTTTTTTTAATTTTTATTTTTCACCACTCTGATAAGTATGTAATGGTATCCCTTCGTAGTTTTAATTTGCATTTCCCTAGTGGGCAATAATGTTGTGTGTCTTTTCAAGTGCTTACTTGCCGTGTGCATCTCCTTTGGAATTGTATCTGTTTAAGTCTTTTGCTTTTTTTGTAATTGAATTTTTGTTCCTTTCTGTTTAATTTTGAGAGTTCTTTATGTATTCTGAATTCATGTCTTTTGATGGATCTGTGATTTGCAAATATTTTCTTCAAGTCTGTCAACTTGTCTTTTCATCTGCAAGAGAACAGTCTCTTGCAGAGCAAAACATTTTTAATTTTTATGAAGTCCAACTGATCAATGGTAGCTTGTGTCTCAGATGCTGTGTACAAGAACTAATCCTTGACCACAAATATTTCTCCTAAGTTTTCTTCTAAAAGTTTTATAGTTTTACATGTAAATCTACAATACTTTATCAGTTAATTTTTGTGAAAGTGATGTGGAGATGTTAATTTCAGAATGATCTCTCTGGTGTGAAAGGTGGATCAGAAGGGGCTGGGCACACAGGTCAGGGACCAGTAAGTGTGAGACAAAGGATGAGGACTTTGGTGACTGAGATGATCATGCAGTCAGTGGGCACTCAACAGCAGGCTGACCATGGGCAAAATGGCACGCATGCATGCATATGTGTGCATGCATGCACATCTGCATGTACATATATGTATGTATGTGTGTGTATATCATGGGGGCATATTTATAATCGTGTGCAGAAACCTCCTTCACCCCAACTTCTGAGATTGTTTTAAAAAGGAAATATTTCAATATTTGGTAAATTTAACTTGAATTGACACATATTTGTTTAAAACAGACAAATTATTAATTAGTTTGAATGCATGTACACATAACAATTTAGAAATTTTATTTTAAAATATAGCTATTTACAAATTATTGTTAAATCCAGTTATCCAGTAATATGTTTTCTGAAAGCAAAACGTTGTTTATGTCTGGTCTAGGTCAGTCTGCATTGAACATGACATTAATTACATGCAGTGGTGCTTCTGGCTTCTTGCCTTGGGCATTTAAAAAAATGGAGCCTTTCGATCTAAGAAATTAGGCTTTGAATCTTGTGTCACAGAAGAATATGGAGCAACTTTCAAATGATCCAGTGAAACACTGCAGACTCCACTATGGATCGACAAATTCCAGGGAAGACAAAATTAAAGCCATCAGGCCAAAGCAAAGATCCAGTCCCCGACTTTAAAGTGCACATGTTGGACAATGAATCGCTGGCTGCCGCACCCGTGTGGCGTGTGGCATAGCTGTTTGCCTGCATTGATTTAAAGGCCTCTCTGTGTACACCCAGGACTGCTGTGCTGTGTTCCTGCAAACAATGGTGATATTTCAGTGCTTTTAATGTATGTGATTTAGTGCATGAGACAAAGCAGTTTAATATGCCGTGTAGGTCTTGATTTTTTAAAGTACAATGTTTTCTGCATGCACATCTTCGAAAATCTTCATTTTTTCTGAACTTACATTTAGTGTTAATAATATTCATTATTCTAAGGCAGGGATATTTCAAGTACTTTCTAAAAAAAAGTTCAGTTTAAGTATATATATATTTTGCAATAATATTACTGTCTTGTCTTTCCTAGCTTATGGAAATGGGGAAATGGGTTATAAGGCAAATACTGTAAATCAGTAATGGCTTTTATTGTCCCTTAGAATCGCAAGAATCCTCTTTTCCCAGTGTATCCTAAAATAAAGAAGATGCCTGGTTCTAAGCCCCATCATGTTTGCTTTTTTATTAATGGTGACTTAGCATACTGTAGGCACCATTTCTGGGTGCCTTGGGCATGATCTCAAGGCATTTCTTGGATATTTAGATTAATCAAGAGTTAATGAATAGGGAAATAAGAAAGTCAGGTGTGTGTGTGTGTGTGTGTGTGTGTGTGTGTGTGTGTAAGAGAGAGAGAAATAGAGAAAGCGAGAGAGAGAGAGAGAGAGAGAGATACACTGAGAGAAAGATAATCTCTTTTCCATACAAAATTTAATATTTCGCTCTTTAGTCTCAAGGGGAAGAAAATCACATTTTTCCCTTCATTATGCTTTTTCAGAAATTTTTCTCAAATACAGTTATAATTTTTTAAATTTAAGAGCTAATTTTCCATCATTTTTCTTGAAAAAACCTTTGGAGTAAGAAAGCTCTTACTAACTCCTACCTAAAAATCTTTCTCTCCCCAATTTACATTTCTTTCTTTTCTTACTTTCCCTCTCCTCTCTTCGTTGTTCCATCCTGAAGCAGAACAGCATATCTGATGAGTATTTTCTATAGGTTAGTTCATTGTCTTGTTAATGCAGCTGCCATTTGTATCTAGTATGGCTGAATCTTTATTTTATTCATTCATTTAGTCAACAAAGTATTATTGACTCCTATATTGTTCTCATTTCCAGGGAGACAACGATGAAAAGCCACACGGGAAACCCTTATGGAACTGCAGACGTGTTAAGAGATCAGATAGGTAAACAAACCAGCAACAAACCGAGGCAGCTGCTGCACGTGTGTGCAGCTCTTCCCTTGTCAGGGAACTCCCAGCGACCAGGAACTACAGGTTTGGAAGAACCAGAATAATGTGAATCCGGAGTGGGGTAGCTCCACACTGCATACAGGCATGAGCACTGTCACTAACTGAGGCCGTGCCTCTGGACCACTGTCCTTGGCCGGACATCACAGCTCCTTGTCACTCCGCTGTTAGAATGGCTGACATTAACTGTACTTGCCCTGATATTTGGAGACTGAGGGTGATCGTCATATAGCATACACTCCACCTAAGCTCTTCTTCAGGTATTAGGGGCAAGAAGCTTCTAGCATGTCCACTCTTGGGGCAGTCATGCAGGTCAGGGTAAGTCCCTTTGCCATATCCATTATACAGCGAATGTCTGCATGACTGGCACATCATCACTTCTTCAGGCACACAGCTCCATTTTTAGGGCTCCAGAGCTCAAGAGTAAACTACTTAGGAAAAACAAATTCTTTCCTGTTTATCTTGTATGTATTCTCAGTGCCTGGCACATAATGATTACTTAATAAACAATTGCTGTTAAATAATCCAAGTAATGGTTGGATTTAATAAGTGGTATGCTGGTAGATGATTAATAACTGGCTCTCAAAAGAAAAGAAGACCCGATTTATAGCATTTGCCAATTTCTGTGGTGTAAATACTCCCACTGTGGCTGATTTCAAGCTTCCAATATGACGTCACCTGGCACACAGAGTTTCTAAAAATTTAACAGTTGGCTCTCACCAACCCATGCAATCAGCCCCAGGAAACCACTGGACTTTTATCTATTGTCCAGGGTACCAAGATGGTACATCCCAAATGCTACCAATTTGGGGTATATTGGGAAAGCTTAAAGTAAATGCATGAAAGGTGAAATCTCACTGCTTGTTCTGTTAGATTGGATGCCCCTTGAGGGTAGAACTCAGATCTTATCCTTTGGTTCTCCGATAACTCAGCTTCCAGCCAGGCGTCCTGAACCTAAGCAGACAATTCTGGCTCCTTTCCCAGGATGGCTCCAGACAGCGAGTGGCCTTGTCAGGATGCAGCGTTCCTTCTGCCAGCCTCCCATGGCTGGTCCCCAGACCATCCCCAGTGTCTGTGCAGGGGAAAGGTGCAGCCCCAAGGCCATCACTCTGGGTGATGTCTGTCATGGTGGGGCTCAGTCCCATCTGGAACTCCTCCCTCTCCAGCTAAAACTGCTCTCCTTGGAGTCACCCCCAAATCACCACACTGCCTCAAAGCACAGCCTCTGGGGCGTGCGGTAGAAGGAAATTTGAAAAGACCGTCCTTCTGATTATTCCGAGGATACCTGTGTCTGTGACAGAGAGCAACATTGTTCTTGGCATAACACACCATGTGTTTCAATGCCTAGGATTTTATTAGAAATGTTCACTACATTTTTTTTTCCAGAAAAGTGCTTTATACAGTTGTGTGTGTTTGTGTTGTCTCCATGTATATGTGTTTCTAGCTATGTTTTTGTGTGGAGTGCATGCCTGTTTGTGGGTCTGCGTGTTTGTGTGGTATGTATTGATTCCATGTATCTGTGTGTTTGTGTGGATGTGTGCATGTTTGGTCTGTGTGTATATTTGTATGTTTGTGTGGGGTGTGTGTGCCTGTGTGTGGTATGTGCGAGTTGACTCTGTGTGTCTGCGTGCTGTCTCTGTGCATGTGTTTGGTGTATGTGTCTTTCTGTGGTGTCTTTTTGTGTGTGGGGGGTGTGCTTGTGTGTCTTTTTATGTGTGTCTGTGTTTTTGTGGTGTGTGTGTCTGTACTACTCTATGTGTATCTGTGTTTGTGTGGGGTGTGTGCATGTTTTGTCTGTGTGTGGAGGATGTGTGTGTATTGATTCTGTGTGTCTGTGTGGGGTGTGTGCATGTTTTGTCCATGTGTTTGTGCGTAGTGTGTCTTGACTGGGTGTTATCTTTGTGTGTTGACTTGTGTGTCTGAGTGTATGTGTGGGATGTGTGCCTGTGTGTGCGGCCTCTGTGTGTTTTCTGAAAAGCCTACAATCAAATTACTTGGAAGCCTTTTCAAACTGACTTTCATCTCTGTCTCTTATAGAAACGTGCCATTTAAGTGCCTTTGAAGCCATTACTGGGTCTGTCATTTTGGAAGGAGGAGAGGACGAATCAGATAGAAAAAGCCACATGCACTTCCCAGTGGTGTTAATCTAATTTGCTGTCAACACTTGTCGGGATTCCTGTTTCTTAGTCCCCGTGGCAGACAGGACGCGGAAGAGGAGAAGGTGCCCACAGCGCCTGCTCTCAGGCCCACCTTTCTGTGGCCCAGATGGTCCAGACAGACGTCTGACATGACCCTTGGTCTAACACACGTAAGAGTCAGATGGGGGGCAGATTGGAACCTTGCAGCTGCTGCCCACACAAGCCAGTGATGACTCCTGCCCATTAGTGCCTGACAAAGTGACGATGCCAGGGAGAAAGCCCTAGAAGGTAATCCTTATGATAAAAGGGCGTTTCCACAGTGTAAAGTCCCCCCTGCAAAAACCCCGGACTCAAGTAAAGGAGGCAGCAAGGACGAGGAGGAAAAGGGACAGGGGAGAAGCTAGGAGTGGCCTTGGCTTGGTGGGACAGCACCAGTCAGGGACAGATGGCAGCGCGAAGCTTCCAGGAAAAGAGTGCAGGGCCCGGCTCTAACCCCAGCCGCAGTTTCTCTCCAGCTGTGAGAGGAGGGCCTCCCAGTTGCCAGCCCCACCATCTGCTGGTCCCGGTTCTCCTCTATGGGCTCTCCAGGGGGAGACAAAGTCACTACTGAAGATTTATGTCCTGCCTTGAAGCGCGGGCTGTCACTATAGAGTCACCTGCACTCTCTCTTCTGCAGACATGTGGGGGTAAAGACCCCGGGAACCACTCAAGCTGTGGCCTTTGATCTGTGACCCAAGACCAGCTCAGCTACCTAGAGGGCCCCGTGGTCATCAGGTCCCTGTCAGCTCCGGGAAGTGTGTGGACCTGGAAAGTCTCAACCTGAAAATTCAGGATCAGGTGATGATGGGACACGGCTCAAAGGGCCTTTTCTTCAGTCAATATCTAGGGACAAGCCCAGTTGTCTGGTCAGAAGGGGACGTGTAGGCTGGTAGGGATCAGAGCACCAACGGTCAGGGAGGGAAACATGCCCATTGAGGCCCCCTCCACCCAGGCCAGCAGAGAGTGATGGAGACCAAAGGCTAATCTGAAGGGTAGACTGCTTAGGAACGCCAATGGGAGATAGTGGGGGGACAGAAGGCATTCTGGTTCTAGATGACTTCCAAGGTTTGGTGACTCTTCACTCAAAAATAGAACTCGCAGAACCTGGCTGCCACAAGGCCCACAACGGGTGTCCCCACTGCTCCCTTGCCTCCTGCTTCCTGTCACTGTTCCTGACAGTGAGTGAACTTGTGTATTGGGGAGCCAGGCGCTGGGCACTGGCAGCAAGATGGAGGAGCTCTCATGGCCTGCCTGTGGTCTTGAATACACAGCAAGCAAGATGACAGCGGGTGTGGTTTGTGCTCTGGGGAAAGAAATCAGAACGACAACACAGAGTTAGATAACCCTAAGGAGGCCACACATTGAGATGAGATACTTCTGAGGGTCCGGAAGGCCGTGAAGGAGCTCCCACTGACAGCCTGGGGAGCACATTTCCAGGCCTCATGAAGGGTCCATGTCAGTGCCCCAAGATGAAAACACGATTGCCACTGGGGGACCCAGCAGGACTTGAAGGTAGGATGGGTGGGGAAGGTTTGCCCTTGAACTTGACCCAAGTTCTACCCTCATGCCAGACATGTCTAAAATGCTTCCCATGTTGTCTGCCTTTGTAAGGTGGCACTGTCTCTGGCTTCCTGTGTCCTGCAGGACTTCACCCTCACCAGATTGAGTAGCAATCTGGTGGCTGACGTCTGTCTGTCTATCTGATTAACAGACACCCATTCTCTGGCTAGCTTCTGTTTCTGGAAGGAAGCGATGTGGACACCTGCTCTACAAGGATCCTGCCTAGCCCATCTGCTGACTCTTGACCCCTATCCTCAGAACCAGGAGAGCGACATGCTCTCAGAAAGTTGTCCTCCTCCCAAACATTGCCACTCCTGTGCACATCTTAGACAAGTTCTACCTTTGAAGGGTAAGTGAAGAGAAATAAAGTAGTTCACTTCCTTGAGGAGTTGCCCCTGGTGTCTTTTCCCCACAAGGTATTGGGCAGGGTTAGTTTCTGAGTCCCTCACGGAGAGCAGATTCTGGACTCTGCCTAAGCGAAAGGAGAGAAGTCCACAGCCAGCAGTGTGACAGAAGAATGCGCCACTGTTGTGGAATCAGACAAGATGGCCTCAGGTGCCAACTCACGGGTCATGTGTTCCAACCTCAAACCAGACTCTCCATCCACCCTGACATCACACAAAGGGAAAGATACTTCCTGGGCCCAGGTCACTCACTCCCTCGAAGAGCCTTCTTGCTGTGAGGGAGCTTGTCAGCCCATCAGGAAGCCATTACTGTCTTCCCAGCCTGAACAGCCTGAGAATGCAGTTATCACTCACAAGTGCACTAGGCACCCAGCGTTTCATCCCTCAGGATCCCCTGCACCATCCCCACTGAAGTTTAGTTTTTGCTTTTTTTTTTTTTGAGTTGGAGTCTCACTCTGTCGCCCAGACTGGAGTGCAGTGGCCGCTCCTGGCTACCGCAGCCTCGACCTGCTGGGCTCCAGCGATCCTTCCGCCTCAACCTTCTGAGTAGCGGGAATTACAGGCATGCGCTACCACGCCTGGCTGATTTTTTGATTTATTGTAGAGATGAGGTCTCGCTGCCCAGGCGGGTCTCGAACCCACAGGCTCAGGCAATCCACTCACCTCAGCCTCCCAAAGGCGCGGGATTACAGGCTGAGCCACCGAGCCCGGCTAGTTTTTGCTTTTTTAAGACTATTTTCTAGAGAAGTTTTAGGTTCACAGTAAAACTGAGAATAAAAGCAAAGATTCCCTCATAAGCTTCCTCCACCCCTGGCCTCCCTCATTATCAACATTCCCCAACAGAAGGTACGGTAGTCACAACTGATGAACCTACATGTCATTATCACCCAAGTCTTTAGTTCACATTAAGTATCACTCGGTGTAGAGTCTATGTGTTTGGCTAAATGTATAATGACATGTACCCACTGTTAAAACAATATACTGAGTAGTTTCTCTGCCCTAAAAACCCTCTGTGCTCCACCTATCCATCCCTCTCTGACTCCAAGCCTTGGAGACCACTGAGCTTTCTTCCATCTACATGGCTTTGTCTTTTCTGAGTGTCACATAAAGGGAATCACGTTGTATATAGTCATGAGTATGTTTCTGAATCTGGCCCACGTAGACGGGACACTTGGTCACCGAATGGGTGATTGTGGGATACGCTGACAGCAACAGAAACCTTGACAGGGAACAAAGTCTCCGCACTGAGAGTAAGGAAGGACTCTGGCTGTGACTCTCAGCTTCCCAGAGGAGCCCTCTGGTCAGACCCAGGGCAGTCACCCACTACTTTCCAACACCTTGCCTCTCAGCATCTGTCTCAGGAGCTCAGTCACATCTGCCTCA